CTTGGGGCAGCCCAACAGGTGTGGCTCAGGGGCCAGGGGCCTGTGTTCTCCCAGGAAAGGCGATCTTCAATTAAAGTTCCCTTGTCTTCATTGGCCCCCATTGGCTTGCTGCGAAGGGTCGTGGTTTGTTTTCTGCCCCTCTCCTCCGCCCCAGAGGGCTTGGGGGGGGGGGGGTTGACCCTCCTGGCCCCGCTGCCCCCTGGTGGAGAGGTCCTCCCCACGCCAACCCAAGCTGGCTGGGTCCTGCCCAACCTGGGGGGGCGGTGGGGCACTGCCAGCTGCTTATATAACTGCAGGGTGACTCACCTGCTTTGATCGCAGGGCGGGGTGTGTTTTTGAATCCGGGTTCCAGGAAAGTTGCGAGGAGCTGGGCCCTGAAGGGCTGGGAACCTGGAAAGCTCCGTGCCAAGGGAGGCGAACCGCGGCTGGCGCACTGGGGGCAGAAATCCACGCTGCCGACTAAAGGAAGGGAAGCAGGACAACGGGCAGAGAAGAGCTTTAGCAGAAGGGGTGGCCTTCAGAAGATCCTTGGGGCCAGAGAGGAGTGGGATTGAGAACAGCGGGAAGTTCCCCCTGCTTTCTTACGGCCCAGTGGAGCTTCCACGTTGAAGGGCAGTCTACCTCGGAACCCCCAGGTGCTGCGTAAGAGGCAGAAAAAGCCCCCTCCTCTTCTCCTGACTGGGGGTGCATTTAGACTCTGAACCTCCTTATCTTAGGGCCTCCCATTTTCTGCTTTATTCCCAGTATCGCTTAGTGAAAAAGACACGTGACGCCCAGCCTTGACCGGCCCTTTCCTTTCGAAGCCCTCACTCTTTTGCTTCCTGCCCTACCTTGCAGGGAGGGTCATGAAGAGGCGTCTCCATTCAGTTGGAGGCCTCCAATTCCAGAAACGGGCCCCAATCGAAAGAGGGGTGTCCCGTTGCTTGGGCCCCTGCAGTTTGCAAAAACATTGGGGCCCCCTCCGAGGACGCCCCAGGAGAGGGAAAGCCATCCTGCAGCCTGAGAAAGATGAAAACTGAATTTTCGGAGGGCGACGCAGATGGATCTGCCATCAAAATAATTTATTTCACTTACATGCCACCCAACGCTCAACACCTCTGGGCGGAGGGTTTTTAAAAGCGCCAAAAAGGGGCCTGGAAAAAGTTGCCATTCCCATCTGGGCTGCCTGGAGTGTATTCTTATTCTTATTCTTATTCTTATTCTTATTCTTATTATTTTCTTATTCTTATTAATTTTCATTGAGGCCTTTAACAAGCTTTTGGTGAAGCATCTGGAAGTGACTCTAATAAAAGCCATCTACAGTCCAAATGAAAAGACATCATCAAGTTCCCAAGATGTGTTTGGCTGTCTTTAAAGCATATAAGATTTAGGTACGTATACATTTAATAAAGTATTTTATTTATTTATTAAATTTACCCCCCCCCATCCCCCCCTAAGGGGGGACTCTGGGCGGCTTACA